TGACCCAACAGAGTGTGGAAACTATAGAACAATATCATTGATTTCACATGCAAGCAAGATTCTACTGATTATCCCAAAATGACTGGAACAACACATCAGCAGAGAACTGCCAGAAGTCCAGGCTGGGTTTAGAAGGGGTCGTGGTACTAGGGATATTGTAGCTAATGTTAGATGGAACTTAGCTGAAAGCAGGGAGTACCAGAGGAATGTCTATCTGTGTTTCAGATAGGCGATTGACTGTGTGGATCATAACAAACAGTGGCTGACTCTGAGAAGAATGGGAATATCAGAACATTTAACCGTGCTAATGCAAAACCTATACTTGGACCAAGAGGCAGTCGTCAGAACAGAGCAGGGTAACACTGCATGATTCAAAATTGGGAAGGCAAAAAAAAAAAAAAAAAAAAATTGGGAAGGCTATATGCCAGGGATGTGTCCTGTCTCCATACCTTTTCAACCTGTATGCAGAACAGATTATCCGGGAGGCTGGGCTCTGTGAGGAGAAATGTGGGGTCAAGATTGTTGGAAGATCTATCAACAATCTGCGATATGAAGATGATACAACCCTGCTTGCTGAAACTGAGGAGGACCTGAAGCACTTGCTGCAGAGGGCCAAGGACAGCAGCCAATATGGATTGAGGCTCAATATCAAGAAGACAAAGATTCTCACTACTGGACCAATTGGCAGCATCAGGATGGATGGTGCAGAGATTGAGATTGTTCACAGCTTCAGTTTGCTTGGCTCCACAGTCAACACTCTTGGCACCAGTAGCCAGGAAATTAGAAGACATATTGTGATGGGAAAGTCTGCTTTTATGGACCTCTCCAAAGTACTGAAGAGCAATGGTGTCTCTTTGGTGTCTCTAAGGTGCATCTGATACAGGCCATGGTCTTGGCTATCACCTGTTATATATCAGAGAGTTGGACAAGGACTAAGGAGGATAGAAGGAGAATTAATGCCTTTGAGTTGTGGTGCTGGAGAAGAGTATTGAGGGTACCATGGACTGCTAGGAAAACAAACAGGTTCATCCTGGGAAGGGTCAAACAGGGCTGCTCCTTGGAGGCAAGGATTCTAAGGCTCCGTCTGACATACTTTGGACATGTTGTGAGGAGAGACCAGTCCTTGGAGAGGGACATCATGCTTGGGAGGGTGG